AGCTTGGAATAGCCAGGACAATTTTTAATATAACTCCGACTGGATTCGTCTGAAAGAAGAAAGTCATATACACCTAGGATGCTTCGAGGGTGAGTAAAACACAAGCCAATTTTCATTTTTGGGTGAACTAACCCTTTAGCTCACCAAGTCTGCATTTATTTGTTTAAAAATACAGTAAAAAAATAATATTGTGAAATATTATTAGTTTAAAATAACTTTTTCATTTGAATATATTTTAAAAAGTTATTTGTTCCTGTGATGCAAAGCTGAATTTTCAGCAGCCATTACTCCAGTCTTGAGTGTCACATGACCCTTCAGAAATCATTCTAACATGTTGATTTGGTGCTCAAGAAGCATTTCTTACTTGTACTGCTTAATATTTTTGGTGAAACTGTGATATTTTTTTTTCCCGGTATTCTTTGATGAACAGGAAGTTCAAAAGAACAGCATTTTTATCTTTTGTGACATTATAAATGTCTTTACTGTCACTTTTGATCAATTTAATGTGTCCTTGTTGAATGAAAGTATTACTTTTTTTTTCAAAAATAAAAATAATGACCCCAAACATTTGAACAGCCTTAGATGTTTGCATATATCAAAATATGCTTCTTGCCTGTTTTGTAACAAATTGTAAAAAATTTGGAACTGCATTTTTGTCCATCCTTTGATTTTTCACTATAAGGAGTAGAATAGCATTAACTTTCCTCATATGAACAACTCATAAACGTTTGGAAAGATATTAAAAGATGACAGATTTGTCATTTCTTTGGTGAATGATTCCTTTAAGCTCCACATTCATTAATTCATCAATTCTCTAGAGCTGTTAACTTCTCCTTATAGCACCATATATGGAAATGTGGGCATGGATGACAATGCCTGTGTTATTATAAGATAATCATGTGATATCTTCTCTGTTGCCAAAGAGCTAAATGTGAGTGTTTCAACAGGAATTTCCTATCAGGCTCACACTGATATGTGTCCTTGGCCTTAAAAGCCCTCCCTTGTGATTATTCCAGGCTATCACAGTTTATCCCACAGTTCAGAGAAGTGAAACTTGATGTGCATGTTCCATATGGCACTTCTGACTTTTACAGACTCTTCTCCCAGACCCGATGTCCCTGTCCACTTATGACTGTTGTAGTTACATAAACCCCCAGCATCCTGTGTTTTTTCCAAGGACGTCTTTCGTCTAAGATCAAGTGTTTGTGGAAGACAGCAGGGGGTCTTTGGCCTGTTTTGCAAACTATTAAAAGTGTGCTGTTATGGCAACCATGAGATCTGTTTTCACCGGAGCAAAAGACTGAATTGTTTGTGTGCATATTTACATGTTTTTCCCCAGAGCATTGAGAACTCCATCCGTCTTTTATACTAGTAGTTTCAGTGCCCTTTTCAAGCATGTTTATTAGCATGTGCAAACCTAAATATTGTTACGACCCCATCTAGGGTGAGGTCACAACATGAAGTGGATCGAAACAACTAGGACGTCATTCAATATTTTATTTATTTATTGTTTCAGTTTATTTAGTAGAGCTTTCTATCTGAGAAACTGCATCTTTAATATATATTGTGGAAGTGCTAAAGAGGGGTCCATTTTCAATTTAATAAAGTTAAGAAAAATCTTGATGCCTAGTTGGCCTTATTAATCAACTGGAGAACTTGCCAACAATCCTGAATGTATGTTGTAAGTGTGTAACTGTAAATTTTTTTTTCCTATTGATTAAATTATTTGCTTATTTATTTATTGTAATTACTTCACTTAGTGACACCAAATGGAATAAAATGTATTGTAAAGGCCCCGATATACTTCAAACGAAATCGAAGAACGAACTGAAATGACGTAATTTCGAACAAAATCAGGCCGAAACGAAGTTTGTTTTGAGTTCGTTTTGGCAGTTTGAAACAGCTCACCAACGCAAACTTTTTGGGGGAGTTTGTTTTGGCTCTTAAACACCTTTGAGCTACCATTGGTCCGTGGCGATTACGCAGTTGGTGGGTGTGTTCTGGAACTCCGCCTTCTTTGACGTGCGATTTAAAAAAAAAAAAATTCCCCGGTTCGTTTCTCATTCTACGGAGGTCAAACAGGAGAACACATCTCCGCGACTATCTTGCGGGCTGTGCACGGTCCAATCTTGAATGTTTCAGCCACACTTTGTTGCGTGGCCCCACAAGCTAGTACTCGGGAGTGTCAAGGCCAGTCTCTCCGTAGTGGAAATCTGTGTCCTGTGCATTTTTGCATGTTTCACATATGGCGATACCCTTTTCAAGCGATCGTCAAACCGCGCGGCGCACATTCTGAAGTATGAAAACTGCACTTCCTCATCTGTGCTCTGCATTTGCTGAATAAAAAGGGCAAACTCGCCATCATTCTTTCTGTTTTCCTCATCTGTGCTCTGCATTTGCTGAATAAAAAGGGCAAACTCGCCGTCATTCTTTCTGTTTTCGTTAAGTGGACGCACATAACATCTAAGTCGCTTGTTCTGTTTTTCTTTGCCATTGAATAGATCAATGCTACTGCCAGATGTTTACGAAACTGTTCTTCTCTCACAGCCGCCATCGTTGTTGTGTTTAGCCGCCATCGGTCTTCTGTTTTCATTAAGTGGACGCACATAACATCTAAGTCGTTTGTTCTCGTTCTTTTTCTTTGCCATTGAATAGATCAATGCTACTGCCAGATGTTTACGAAACTGTTCTTCTCTCACAGCCGCCATCGTTGTTGTGTTTAGGGGGTACACGCGGGCGGCGTGACACATGTTTACAACCTCGCCTCCAGCAGCGCGGGGTGTTGAAATGTTCAAAAACAGTATACCGTCGCTTAGCCTTTTCAAACTTCTTTTTGCCCTCAAACGAAGAACGAAAAAAAACCTTGTTTGAAGTATATCGGGGCCTTAACAATGACATAATTACATTAAGTACATATTACCACTCAACCACACACTGATCTTATATTAGTAGACCCTGCTGTCAACTGGACTGTTTTCTCAAAGCAAGTTCAAGAACACACAAAGCATAAAAAGATGACCTGAGTGTTTGAGGTCTCTGTCATGCTGCCCTGTGCTGTGTTTCCCAGAGGATTTAGCTACAAGTGTGTTTTCTAAGATCACACACACAAAGGCAGCGTTGCGCGTCATGCTCTGCTACCCATGCACGGGCCACTGTTTGTGCGGTGTCACCTTTCCACTCTTCAAGCTTCTGAATGCAGGAGAATGGTGTTTGCTTCCTCCACAGCATGATGTGAAGGAACTTCAGTGATCGAACAGAGTGTTTCAAGTGTTCTGTCGTTGTTATTCTCCACACTCTCATTTCCTGCTTGCACACATCTACTTCCTATGGTGTTTAAATGATCAGGGAGATCTTGTTTGTGTATTCACTTATTTTCCTCTCTCTGTCTCTCCAGGAGCACTCTTACTGGGAGGTTTCCTGTTCTCCTGGCAGTTTCCTCACTTTAATGCACTGAGCTGGAATCTAAGAGAGGACTATTCGCGCGGCGGTTACAGAATGATGTCCGTCACCCATCCCAGCCTTTGTAAACGTGTGGCCCTCCGCCACAGCGTAGGCCTGATTGGCCTCTCAGCCTTGGGCCCCGTGCTGGACGTCACCACCTGGACGTTCCCCTTAGTCTCCCTGCCGATTAACCTTTACATCAGCTACCTGGCTTTCAGATTCTATCGCAGTGGCGACAGGCAGAATGCCCGCAAGCTGTTTTTTTGTAGTCTTTGGCACCTGCCCATGCTGCTGCTGCTGGCCCTCACCTGCAAGAAGAGACACGTGCCGCAGGACGAGGCAGCTGTTGCTCCCAGCACGCCTTCTCTGGCTCTGTAGAGCAAACTCAATCCCCTGCCATATTCATACTGGCTAGACAATTGCTGTCAGCCCTAAAATTAATTGTCTTGGAGCTAAAAAGACACCAAAAGTTGTGTACCTTTGAGAGGGAAGCCATAACCTCATACCATTGTTGTAAAAGTTTCCATTAGGAGAAAAAAAGAATTAAAAAAATCCCTGAATTCGCTCAGGTAACTTGTACACAAATTAATGCTCTGTGTATGTAAATACATGATATATTTATATCCCCCCCGTTTTCTGTAAACTCATAGACTGCTTCTATAGACTGATTTGTATCTATGTGGATCACTTAAAATAAGACAAGAAAACGTTTTGCCTAGAATTTGCAATTAACATCGCCATTACTGTAGATATTTTGGTTAGATGCGATATAGTCCAGATAATGGAGTACGGTTTGTTTCAATGCACCTTGCAAGTAATTTCTAAGTTTGGTCTCATCTAATTACTTGCTAAATGACATTTTCAAAGTTTTCACTTTCTGAGTCTGTTAATATTTCATTTCGGCAATAAATGATTCAGTAAAGAAATCGCTGAGTCTCACTGCTGGCCCAGAAGTCTTTATTCTGCATGAAACTCCATCCTTCTGAGTCTGAGTTGAGATGTTGAAAGGCGGATCGTTTTGGAGCGCTCTCGGGTATTAGCTCCATCAAAAACACTTACTAGTCAAATGAAAATCATTTCAACTCCCCAGAACAGAATTACTGTTTATTCATTGAATGTAACAGTACTGAATATCACTGATTGCAGCCATGCTTTGTTCGTTACTGTTACTGATTCAGCGCCTTCACAGTTTACCCATCTGACCTCACTGTACCAATGACTTGTGTAAGACACAAAAAGAATTAAAGTTATTCTTATTAAAATGTGTTGTGATCAAGCTTATGTTTGAGTTTTGATTTAAATCTTTGAAATGTACTGTCACAATGTATCTTCAATGCTGCCAGTAGAAACAAATTTGCCTTCATTTTCTTCATTTCATTATTTAAATATGCTAATTTGGTGCTTAAGAAACATTTCTTATCAATGAGGAAGTTGATACCTTAAACTGCTATTTATTTATTTATTATTTTGGGGATTTTTTGATGAATAGAAAGTTTAAAATAGCATATATATTATATGCTATTTTAGCATATTGGCAATTTAGCTATTAGCAATAGCATATATATATATATATATATATATATATAATACTCACCTTTGATCGACATATATCCTTGCTGAATAAAAGTGTTAATTTATTTCAAAAATGACCCCAACCCCATATATTTATAATACTATATATAGCATAATGTATTTGTGTGTGTGTCTGTAGTATTTTCTATATCAGTAAATAGTAATATTTTAATATTTGTATCGTAAATTTGTGTGGTAGGTAGTTTACCATGCAGTGGTCGAGTTGCATCAGACAAGTATCCCACTGCATCTCCAGACAGGACTGGAAACAATGTCTGGCTGCTCTGAACACATTCGGCTAAGATATCAGCTCATATAATCTCCTAAGTATCGACCTCTGCACCTGTCCGGCTACAACACTCGATACCACTCCGCTGTTTCCTTCCCAGTTGTCCTCTATGGTTCCACTTCTCTCAGCACCTCCATTAAATGCCCACATATACTGTATGCTGAGATTTAGTAAGGGCGGCAGGGCGAGGCATTCCTCCCCTCGTAAAGATCTGCTCTGGATGCAGCCAGTGCCTTTCACATCAGAGGCAGTGAATGGGATGGAGGGGGAGAAAAAGAGAGCGAAACAGCTGTTCCCAGCATGTCAATAGATTAAATAGCAGTTCCAGCCCTCCTGGGGTCTGTGGACTCTCCCACCATGATTTTACAGCTTCCACTCTATAGGGTTTTTGTGGTGGACACTCTGTGTGGGACGAAGTGCACAGACCTTCCAGTACACAAGCATCGGAAGGGACATCCTGCACACTTTTATAGGGTATTGCTGTAGTTATATAGATCTGCTTATAAGTACTGCACGTGTAAATTGTTTAATTTTCCTGTTTAAGTGCTTCTTTCGCTCTTTTATCAGGTCAGGCTTGACGAATGCATCATAAATGGAGTAATCCTCTTCTCAGGAAAAATACTGTTTTACTCCGAGTGTCATGGAGCGAGTTTCTCACAGTGCGTGCATTCATTATGAGCTGTGAACCCTGAGGTGGTGAGCACATTTCCCATAATGATCTTTGGCTCTCTGTGGTTTTTCTCATCCAGCTTGGATTCTCATTACAGTTTTAACAGCCTCCCAGACCTTCATTTGTTACAACAGCAACAGGTGGATTTCTCCTCTCTTTTCATTTACAGGAAACAAAATGCTTTGAAATCTTACACTGAAATGCAGGATGATTTCATTTTTGGTTGTTAAAGCAAATGTTTACTTGGTTTAGTTTATGAAGGAAACCGATTACAATTAAGAATAGATCTTTCTGAACTCTTTACACTGAGTGACAGCTATAAACAGTATTTTTCTAAAATGCTCTTTAACTGCCGTTTAAGCATGTTAGGCAGAATGACATACATTTTTTGGCAGATGTTGGGCAGCAGTGTATCAAGTATTCCTAGCACGAACTGTGCATGGAAAACGGTATAGTCAAAAGCTTTTGAAACTGATTTATACCTACTCGCCACTTGCTTGAAATGGGGTGGACAAATGTTTCTTGGGCAAAGTATTCCTTAAACTTCTTTAAACTCACACATATATATTTGCCTTAAGGGAGTCACTAATTTTTGAACCCACACAGTAACATCAATCTCAGAAATGTGGTCTAGTTCATACGTTATAGTGGTGAAAGGCGACAGAAGAGTCTAAGGTCTAGAGTCAATAATGTGGGGGGTTGGGTTGTGAGTTTGTTACCCTTGTAACAAAGAATTCTGAACATCCTTCAGTATGTGTTGGAGGGAACTTAGGCATTTTGTGATTGTTTCATCTGATCTACATTTATGCACATTTAGGCAGAAACTTTTATCCAAAATGACTTGCAGTACATTCAGGTTAGGTATTTTGTAGGTAGTTCTGCCCATGACCTTGGCAACATGCTCTACTGTTTAAGCTGCATGAATTTTTGGAGACATAAAATCAAACATAAAAACTAGAATTCTGTCTGTTTTTCCATTTAGTATTTTGTTGGCACTTACATTCGTGGTAAATCACTATTCAGAAAAGATCCAGATATTATTTCTTTTTCTGACCCTCATCTTTTCCACTAAGAAGATATTGACAATTGTATGTTTTTCTTTTCGAATTCTACATTAATTATTGTCCACGCAGGACCTAAATCATTAATTAGACTTTGCTTGATTCAAAAAGATGTTTCAAACTCAAACACATTTTTAAAAATTGGCTCAAATTGCAGAAGTGTGTATTTGTTACACTTTTTAAAAACTTTAATGAACAACGCTAAAAATATTATACTATTTATAATGCTTAAAATATAATTACGCATTTGTGTTTTTTCCTCTCTCTCTCTCTATAGTTTGTCATGAAAGTGAAGTGTAAAGTGCAAGCTTCCCAAAGTCACAGCCTGTAAAATCTGAAAATATCTGGACATTTTTTAAACTGTAATGTCGGGGCACGAGGAAGTCTATAGTATTTTTATAGGCTAAATATAAATGTTTATATCGATGTTCGAAATAATTAATCAGCTAGAAATGCTATACAATGTCTTTATCCAGTAATTATGAGCGACTGGGAAAAAGTAATGGACATTCATTGGTCAGAGGGTGTGTGACCGCGGAAAGTGCTGTGTTTTACACTCCTCTTCACTTTTTAGGCAGTGTAAATAATAAGCTGCATGTTTATAAACCTAGTTTATAGCGAGCTGAAGCGCAGCTTGTTTTGTTATTCAAAACGACACAAAACCGGCCATAAATTATCAAATGCGTCGGCAGCGTGACTGCAAAATATCTACTACAGCGGATTTAAACTTTATTTTATTGAACCTCTTAAATTGATAAATATTTACAAAATAGAAAGACAATGTAAATACCTCATAGATTAGAGAAATAATATGATAATAGAGTAATTTGATAGTTTAATGAAGTTATATTCCGTTTATTCTATGTGAATTAAAATAATTTCATCACAAAAACTTGATTAATCGCGAGACTGAACACGATTGAAAAACTATATAGATTTTATATAGAGTTTATTTTTATTGAAAACATTCTTTAGAATTTAGACATTTGGGAAAATATCGTGTCGACCTTTTTTTTATTTTTATTTGCATTAGTTGACGTGTGTGTGCAGATGAAGATTTATCGTAACTAATAAATTTCTGACTCAGATTAATGCGATTAAATATAGGATAGCAGATTTTCTTTTTGCATTACACGTTTGTGTAAGACGTCTAAATATTTATACCCCGATTCTTTGGCTATTTCAGACTCCTGAATAGCTAAATGAACGAATACCTTTGAAAGTAAAAAAAAAAAAAAAACATGCTTTATCTACACTGTATATTTTACGTTTGCCGAAGATAGAAGAATAATTACTGTTTAAAATGATTTCGTTTATTAAAATTTGAGTAAATAAGAAGTAAATGTAAGACGTATAAATATATTTGTATGAAATATATATGCTTTAATAAATAAATATATAGGCTAATAGTTTGTATGAGAACTTTGCTGGACTTCCCAAATCCTCATTCCTTTCTAAACAGTTCAGATGCGTACAATTTGTAACACTTTGGAAACTCCCAAAAACTGGAATAAAAGGATTCCGGTCTAATGTTTCTCTATCCAATAAGAGCGTTTAATCGGCTCTGCGACCAAGTGTCTTGTCTAAAATTCCCTCCTATATTGCTCTCTGATTGGCAGGCGTTTTTAAACAACTCCGCCTTTATTCAAATGAGTGCTCAGCGGTAGGCTGGCCCTGCTGTCAATCAAACGCATCAGCGCTCTATAAGGTCTACTCTCTCGAAAGCGCTCAGACACTCGAGGATGCGGCCGGGAGCAGCTTCTGCGGCTGGGAATCAAGTGCACTGGTCATTCTTATCAGTTTTCTCGCCTCCTCCCGCAGATATGACCGAGAACAGCTGACTAAAATCGCATTCCTAGATGTCCCGTCCACTTTGGGTTAGTTTATTTCACGTCTGAGGATTATATTGTGGACTCCAATGGCTTTTAAAGACTCCTGA